TCATTCCCATCCCTGGACACTTTATTTTTTCGTTTATCATTACTCTTCACAATTCATCCTTTCATACTTCATCCCTAAGGTTAGAAATAATCGTTATTTCTCCTTAAAATTAATTTCGATTTTTCGTTCAAAAGAAACATATGCGGGATAATTGCTAAACTTCGTTCTACAACCATAAGTCGCATTATATTGTATTGATGATTCATTAGCCCGCCATTTGCTATAAGAAAATTTAAACTAGAAATAATTTACTACCCTTATACTGCAGTGAATTAATCCCATGAATTTATCATTGCAGTCATGGCAGTAGAATTTTTTTCAATTAAAAAAAGAATCATATGCGTCAAAATTAAGTATATATTTTTGAAAATATTGAGTTTTCTTATTGAATTTCTTAGTAAACTTTGTATTTTCAATAAATTTTAACTATTTTTGAAGTGAATAATTATTTTTGATTCTGATTGTTTTTACGGCCTAATTTAAAAATATAAAGTTTCTTTAAGATAAAGGTTATCTGACTGGCATTCATATTTCTGTACAAAATAGACACTGGGCTAGTTAAAGTTTTATTCTCTCAAACTTTCAACAAAAATCTTTTGTCTTCGTCAGGATAAATAAAAATTAACACAAAGCAATAACGCGCCATCTATACATATAAAGTAAAAGGATTTAAAAGCGCGAATGTTTCTTTTATACATAAAACGAACTTCTACTGTCCTTACTGCGATGAAAAATATATTGGGAGGGCTTGGCTCATCAGTGGTGAACCCTCCCAGCGGTTTCGCCAATTTAATCCACCAGACCGCTTCTCAGAGCTCTAATACTGTATTGGATCATTCTGCTTTTATATGCTACACTGAAGGATGGAATCTTAGAAATGGTTTTCAAGTAAACTATGGTCATAAGCTTATAGGACAGTAGAATTACATTCAAATATTTGCTTCGAGCAATGCTCTTCAGCAAACTATAAAGACAAGGCCAGTTAGGAATAAATTAACACAAAGCAATAACGCGCCATCTATACATATAAAGTAAAAGGATTTAAAAGCGCGAATGTTTCTTTTATACATAAAACGAACTTCTACTGTCCTTACTGCGATGAAAAAATATATTGGGAGGGCTTGGCTCATCAGTGGTGAACCCTCCCAGCGGTTTCGCCAATTTAATCCACCAGACCGCTTCTCAGAGCTCTAATACTGTATTGGATCATTCTGCTTTTATATGCTACACTGAAGGATGGAATCTTAGAAATGGTTTTCAAGTAAACTATGGTCATAAGCTTATAGGACAGTAGAACAGATGAGCCAAGCCCTCCCAATATATTTTTTCATCGCAGTAAGGACAGTAGAAGTTCGTTTTATGTATAAAAGAAACATTCGCGCTTTTAAATCCTTTTACTTTATATAAATAAAAATAAATCATTTGGCAAGGCGTTAAAAATTAAGAGAATATTTTTTAACGCCTTGCCAAATGCTTTTATTTCTCCTGACGAAGACACAAGATTTTTGTTGAAACGTTGAGAGAATAAAAATTTAACTGGCCTAAGTGTCTATTTTTAAGAGTTTTTATGTTCAAATTAGGTTGGAAAAATTATATTTTTGTGAATTATTTGCATAAGTGAATGTATTATGGAAGTATGGAAGAGACTGGAAGTATTTTATATTCTTCGTTAAGTGCTTATGTTCATAGATCCTTTAAATAACTTCACTAAGAACTTTTTTTTCAAGTGTATTAGATGCTTTCAATCTATGTATAGTGGTTTAGATTATTAAACTAAAAGACCGTTTGGAGGATTATCCACTAATTGCCCAGGCCTTCCCAATATTTTTCAATTGCAGTTAAAACAGCAATATGTTTTGTATTTTTAGCTACAATCGTGCTCAAATACACTCATGGTAAAACTTAAGTATGATGTACCTATCAGCATGTATATCGGGATTTAGACAATAACTCTGAAAGATATTGCAGTGAACTTTATTGAAAACACAAGATAACCAAATGTTAACAAAATTGCCTATTTGCCTCCTTCAGAAAAAAAAAAGACGAAGAGCGAATTCAAAGATATTCCACTTCCTTAAGTAATGTTCATTAGTGTAATTTTATTTCTCGAATATATAATTTTCTATGATCTCTCCTTAATCCACACGTATGGTACATAATGGATACCCGCCTGAAGATTGTAACAACGGAATATTGAGCGAGAACATCTCAGATATTACAAGTGTCATGTTCAATATGGCGGTTCAATCTTTCTCAAAACCTTATATTGGTGAACAAAACTAAATTTTATTTAGCATCCACAGAATAAATCCTTCTTGTATGCTCCTAAGAACTTTGAATTGAAAATTATTTTTTAGTATCGGTCAGTTGTGTTAAATAATTTTAAAATAAAAAAATAGTTAGGCATGTGTGTGTGTTTGTAGATATAACAGCCTATAAGTTTTTCCCACCGACAAAGAGTCCTTCTACAGATAGTGAAGTGGGACTCCTCTCACCTCTAGGCTTGAAAAATAGACAAAACATAAGGAAGAGAGTGGAAAGTCTTTGATGTCTTTTCAAGGAGATAGTGGCAATTTTATTCACACTTTATTTTTTATTTTATTATTACAGAAGCACGAAGTCTATCAGACTATTGTGCTATATTAGAATTATTTACATATATATCTTTAATTATTTACACGATGAATTAGTAGTGATTTATAAATTTGTATACAAATTGCTCTAAACTTGCCAAAGTGTTCATAAGATTGAGTATATACAGAAAGATGATTTGGCATTATGTCAAAGTCTCGTCAAAGTATTATCTCGTGTCTTCAATAAAGGTCTCACTGTAATATATTTAAGAGTTATTCTCTGAATCCCGATATACATGGTAAAAGGTCCATGAGTGTATTTGAATATACAGGCTTTGGTGGATCTGATCAAATAGCATCATTATTCAGGTCTCGCCCAAGGACTAAGTCCTACTGGTCAGGGAGCCGCTCGTTGATGGTGAAAGCCCCATGGATGAGGATATCCTTCTAGAACACAGAAACGATTCAAATAAATTCTTGATAAAATACATTAGTATATTCTTCATTCTAATTACAAGAGCCACTAGAATACACTTCAACTTTTCATCCTTCTCAACAATGCGAGACTCAATATCCAATGAAAGAATCATTCCTTTGGAATACAAAAGTCCATTTTAAATATTTATGCTTCAATTAGTTAGAGCTTTGATGGCATTAGCCATTGTGTAATTGGATCCCATCTATTCTGTTCCAGCATAAAAATTTAAATTGTAGGTTAGAATTATCTTTGATCGATATTATTAAAAATTCATCCAGGGCGCATCGAATTTGTTGGGCGAATTTGGGAAAAAGAGAGAACATGTTTGACTTTTGCTATTGTTATAAAATATTTTTAAATATATTTTTATTGATCTTTGTTTGATATGTTTTTATATATTTCTTATTTTATTTCTCTCAAATTCTAATTTAAATTAAGAATTTATACCGCTAGTAATAAATGACGTTCACTTATTTATTCTGATGGGATTCTTGCAACGTAGTTATAAAGAAGTCAAAATTAGAGAAGTACAATAGAAATTGAGGGAGTTAGGTATATTGTCACGTAAAAACTAGAAAAGAAAACCCTCAGAATGACACAGCAATTTATTTAAGTCAAAAACAAAATCAACATTTATAAGATCCAAGATAAGCAATGAGGATATAGTTTCCAGAGTATTAAAATATAAATACAGTAGAACCTCCCTTTAGCGGACACCCCGCTAACGGAAACCTCTCCACAAAGGACAGCTTTCATCAGCAAAATTACCGTTTTTACAATTTAGCAACTTTCCGGTAAGAGGACACTTATCCCTAAAGGACACTTTGGCTCTGCAATTAGGTGTTGTCCTTTACAGGGAGGTTCTATTGTAATATAAATATATAAATTAATAATATATACATAAAATATATAATAAATATTTCGCTATAAACCTCCTTACCAATGGGGCTTTAAAGTTATACACATTATGAAAGGATTTAAAAGCACGAATGTTTCTTTTATACATAATACAAACTTCTACTGCCCTTACTGCTATGAAAAAATATATTGGGAGGGCTTGGCTCATCAGTGGTGAACCCTCCCAGCGGTTCCGCCAATTTAATCCACCAGACCGCTTCTCAGAGCTCTAATACTGTGTTGGACGATTCTGCTTATATACGCAGCACTGAAGGATGGAATCTCAGAAATGGTTTTCAAGAAAACTATGGACATAAGCTTATAGGACAGTAGAATTACATTCAAATATACACATATATATATACACAATAAAACAATTGGAAGCGTATTGTCGCGCTGGAAAAAGATCGTTGTCGTGGAAGAAGAAATAAATATTTATTCTTCGGTAACGTCTATACCAGAGGTCGGCAAATTTCTGAGTCGGAAGGGTCAAAAATTACAATTTACAAAATTTCAAAGACTTTAAAGAGCCACAGCATTATTTCTTGCCAACAATAAATAGTACTCACATGAATAATATTTACGTATGGAACACTATATAAAGAGCCGCAGTTTCACATCCGAAGATCGCATGTGGCTCACGAGCCAGTTTGCCGACCCCTGGTATATACCAAATTAAAGTTACATCAATTTATATAACAATCAAAAATCCAAACCAATCTATGCAAATAAATCTAACAAAATCTAAAACATTAAATTATGTAAACTGGAATTTGACAAATACCCTACGCTATCCGAAAACTATCCCGCATATGTTTCTTTTGAACGAAAAATCGAAATTTATTTTAAGGAGAAATAACGATCATTTCTAACCTTAGGGATGAAGTATGAAAAGATGAATTGTCCTGGTTCAAATCACATTAATAGGTACCGCTCAACAAGAGCAACCTAGTTCATGATAATTGAAACAGTGAATAATATGTGAAGATGAAGGTGAATTGTGAAGGTGAAGATGAATTGTGAAGAGTAATGATGAACGGAAAAATAAAAGTGTCCAGGGATGGGCCTAGTGGACATGGCATCTGCCCGGTAAGTGGAACCCTGTCGGTTCGTTTCCCATCCCTGGACACTTTTATTTTTCCGTTCATCATTACTCTTCACAATTCATCCTTTCATACTTCATCCCTAAGGTTAGAAATAATCGCTTTTTCTCCTTAAAATAAATTTCGATTTTTCGTTTAAAAGAAACACATGCGGGATAATTTTCGGGTGTCGTTCTGCAATCATAGGCCGCATTATATTGTATTATAAACAACGCTATATAAATGTGAGGTGGAGAGCCAATATGGTCGTATCTCCAACTTGCAGTCACGATCCGGAGATAACATCCTGAAGACAAAAAGAAGCCACAAGCAAAAGAGCATGTCGAAAGCGAAGAATATTGACTATTACAATCATAATTGATAATTATTTTTTTCTAAAATGTAGAAAAATATTAAGATTTTCTGACAAGTATTGTGTTTCTTTCATACAATGACTAAAAAGAGATTCTTCTGTTTTCTACAATGATAAAAGAATTTCTTAAAATAAAATTCCTAAAGACAAGAGTTTTAAGGGAAGACGCTTAATTTCTTGATATATTTATAATTAAATTTCAAGGCGTTTCTTTAAAAATTCATTTTTTTCTTCTCAATATAATGGAAGCTTGAATTTTTAACTGTATTCAAAGACATTGTTCTAACTTCCTATATACATGTATTGTTCAGAAGCCATTTATTAAATTTCAAATCAATAATTTTTTTTTAAATAGGAGATATGATCACATTTTTAATTTCAAACTGCAATATATAATATGTTTATATGGTTTTGACCAAGGACTTGGTTGTTGTTGTGTGATGTAATCAATATATAGCGCGAGATATTCATGTTTTTAGTTACCACAAACATGTTTTTAGTTCCCACAAACATGTTTTTAGTTCCCACAAACATGTTTTTAGTTACCAAACATGTTTTTAGTTACCACAAACATGTTTTTAGTTCCCACAAACATGTTTTTAGTTACCACAAACATGTTTTTAGTTCCCACAAACATGTTTTTAGTTCCCACAAAGGCCAATTAGCCCGGAATTCAAGTACATGTTTTTAGTTCTTATGATAATTCTGTGTAATAATAAAATATTATGCAACTTTTCAGTAGCATACAATCTCTTTTAATAGAAACTACACTACCTAAGATTATTGAATATTAGGTAGAAGAGTACACACATAACACAAACCAATGGTGGTTTTGAAATAGTTATTTTTGTCAGCATTCCTTTTTAAAATTCATTTATTATCCAATAATGTGCTTTATCGTAGTATATGCGCCTATTACAGAGGAATGAAAAGAAACAGATAAAAAAAACAGGCTGAAACTTAGGATTGAATATTTATATATTTACATGTATCAAGCGACAGAGTTCATAAGATTTATATAGACAAAGTGGTTGATGTAAGAGAGTTAAATCATTTAGATCAGGGAACAATCTATGTCTCACTTCTGTAAAGTTCGGACAGTCGTAGATAAGGTGAAGAGCAGTTTGTTCAGTTTCTCCGCAGGAACAATTTGATGTTTCTGATAGACCTCTTTTATGTAAGTAGTACTGAAACCACACCTCCTGCGGTCCCCCCTGGACCCTTGGAATATTCGACCAAATTCTGGTTCATTTCCAAGGTGACTAACGTGGCAACGGCACCCATTTTACAATGAAGAGCAAGATAGTGGACATTGATGCTGCTGTGGTAGAGATGCATGGAGACATCTGAAGCTCTTCATTGGACACGATAACAACAACAACTGGAGTTTTCCGTGTGATATGACATATTGGGTGACGATAAAATTAGGATGGAATTGTATAGCAATGCCCTTTGTAAAAATAGTGCGAATTGTATAGTTAGCATTATAAAAGGTATAAAGCATCCTTCGATTGAAAAACATTGACAATCAGATGGTAGGCTAGAATTCTCTGCCAGGAATATAGACGCAATCTCTAAGCCATTTCATTAAAATGTAAATCTTGCCTAATATCGATACCTCATTTAGCGGCGACACCAGAATGGTGGGTCGTTACGGTAACGGCTATTCAGGGAATATAAGTGCATAGATAAAATAATATTTGCATATATAGCCCGTTATCTCACACAGTTTCAAGAATCAATTTCACTTGGTGATTTTTATTTTAAGGGCCAGTGGTGACAAAGAATGTTCTGTCATTACTGTGGATCGCAAGACAATATCTCACAAAGGAAGATTGCCTTGTAAAGGGATCGCTGGAAGAATGGTCTAAACCGTTGGTTTGCGGCCGCTACTACCCGGGATCTATTCCCACATTGGGCTCTTTTTTTCAAATTAAAAATAATTCTCCAATGGCCCCCGATTCTTACAGAAGTCCAACCCCACCAGTGAGTACAAGTAACCAAACGGGGCTATGGCATATTTGTAAGTGCAAAATTCGAACTGCTTTCACGTGTGTAGACATGTGGTGCACTTACAGTAAAAACAGTGGCCAACTTCTACTCACCATGACTATCATGGACTGTACCACGTGTACTAGGGACATTAAAAAATTGCCCTGTGAAGGACATACACGGGAGAATATTCGCACACTTTCAAAACCTAAATGTATTAATCCCTTTCAACCACAAACAATAATTAACTCTTTCACTACCAGACGTGCTAGCCTGTTTTGTTAGACAATGCCGCTTCTATAGGACTAGGTGCCCAAGGTGCCCAAGGTGCCGGCATTCTTTTTAGCACAATCTACTAAGTAAAATACAAGTTATACAACACAAAAGTCACACCGCATGAGTTCTTTTCAACGAAAAATCAAAATTTATTTCAAGGTGAAATATTGACTATTTCTAACCTTTTTGGATGGGGTATGAAAGGGTGAATTATGAAGAGTAATGATGAACGGAAAAATAAAAGTGTCCAGGGATGGGAACCGAACCCACAATGTTCCGCTTACCGGGCAGATGCCATGTCCCTGGACACATTTATTTTTCCGTTCATCACTACTCTTCATAATTCACCCTTTCATACCTCATTCAAAAAGGTTAAAAATAGTCAATATTTCACCTTGAAATAAATTTTGATTTTTCGTTGAAAAGAAACTCATGCGGTGTAACTTCAAGTGTCGTTTTACAATCACAGGCCGCAGTGCATTATAAAAGTCAGTCAGTTTGTGAATTGGTAACAACACCTAAATTCCCTGATGTTATCATATATAGTAAAATTCATACATTTCAATCAGAAGAATAAATGTTGTATCTTAGATCACACGCTGCGTGTTATAGGCTCCTAAGGAAATGCTCATAATCACCTACTGACGTTTAATCGGCAGCTAAAAGGTTAAGGAACAGATTAATAATATAAACTCCATTAAGACGAAGTATATGTTTTTTGACTACGGACTCGTGACTAATGGTAAAATATTGCCTAAGAAATGTAAGTTATATGCGAGGGTAAAATTCAAAATATGGTATACTATTATATTCTTCATTGTCCCCGACTTCAGGAGAAAAGGCAAAAATTAGAATCCTCACATGCTTATCACCGTAACGACTCAAAGATTCACAAGTTTATTTCTGATTCATTGATAAATGAGAGCTTTGTCTACCTGTACTTCCAATTCTTTAGTTCAGCGGAAAAGTTGAGAATATCGTCAAGCAATTAAAAAGAAGATTATTTGACACCATTTTTTTTTTGAAATTATTATCTTCACCAAAAGCTGTCAACTGTCCTGGTGTGGAACTAACACTTACTCACATATTATCATGCCCAGCAATGGCCGCAGCCTTGCAGAAAATTGACATGGACCCAGAGCAGCAGCTTTACATACCCAAGATAGTGGACATTGCTGCTGCTGTGATAGAGATGCATGGGGACAACTGAGGCTCTTCATTGGACACGACAACAACGACAACAACCAAAAACCGTTATATAGCTGATTACCTATTCACTTAATGATTCTCTCTACCATTGTTTTTTCCTTTCTTGACTACTGGTCGAGTCCATACAAAACGAAATGTTTTTAAAAAGACTTTTTTTGTTGTTTCAAGGAGTACCATTTACGTTGAAAGTATATATACTCAGGAAAAAAAACTAAAAGAGGTAGTACCTTTTAACATTTATATCGGGATTCAGACAATAACTCTGAAAGTTATTTGATACATAGAGACATCTGTTGAAGACACATGAGATAACAAAGTGTTAACAAAATTGCTTGTCTCCTTAAAAAATAGACAATAGTCATAATCAAAATATGAAACTTCCTTAAGTTTTGTTCATGAGTGTGAATCACACAACGTATATTCTGGTGCTCGTTTATAAATTCGAGAAATCTTGAAGGATTTACCCCATTTCTGACTGCTTTGATCTATTCTCCATATTCTATTCACGTTCCACAGATATTTTTCCAATGAATGCATTGAGAGAGAGTTTGATGTTTTTTTTTTTTTTTTTGCTTCTTCCTAGTACACCTGATACAGTCCATGATAATCTTGGTGGGTAGAAGTTGGCGACTGCTTTTACTATAAGTGCACCACATATCTACACATGTGACAAGCAGTTCGACTTTGCACTTACAAATATGCCAGAGCCCTGTTTGGTTACTTGCACTCGCTGGTGGGTTTGGACTTTTACAAGAATAGGGGGCCATTGGAGCATTTTTTTCTTTTATCAGAAAAAAGTGCCCGATGCGGGAATCGAACCCGGGTCGTAGCGGTCGAAAACCAACGGTTTAGACCATCCTTCCACCGACCCCCCACGGTTGATGTTGGCATGAGATGGATCTGTAAAATTACGATCTATCCCACTGTTATATAATCCATATTGGCTACACCCTCTCAAGACAAATATTAAAAACCCCGAACTCGTCAATAAACGACAAAATTAATTATAATATTAGAAACCAAGGTATTTTTTTAATTAACAAACCTAGATATTAATCAAATATATTTTAGCGGTTTTAAGGAGAACACAAATAAACTGCAGTAATTAATTTCTTCCAGATCGATCTTTTTCCATTTACTCCTTTGTATAATCGCCTCTGGGAACATTCTCAAACCTTTGGTAGAAATCCTCATCAA